AAGTAGGGACGTGTTATTTTCACACACCCGCACGTACATACATACATAAATACATGCATACGTACATGCGTACCTACATACGTGCGTACGTACATACATACATCCATTGCATGCCTGCAATAAAAGAAATGCATACAGCGACCTATCACGCCATCTGCCATACCATAAAGTCATAATTGAATACCACACCATACTTTCCTTGCCATGACATGCCATACCATACCCAAAGTACTTACACGCCTCGTGTTACGCTTCTCACCAGACACGCACACACACACACACACACATACACACACACACACACGCTGCACGATAGTTCGTTCCTCCGTTCGTTTGTCTCCCTTCCTTTAAATTTCGAAGCATGTCATGTTTTTCCATTCCATCTATCCCGCTCCATCCATCCTTTCCTTCCTTCGTTCATTCCATCACGAACGCCCGCGCCTCCCGAGCGGTGGATCCACCCTCCTGACTTTAGGCCGGGTGGCTTTGAGCTCACACCTCCAAGCCCTTGCGTTGGCTGCGCCTCCCAAGGGCACGCTGGACTTCCGGAGCTCGGCGATAAGGTGGTAGTAGCCTTCCTTGGAACGGATGTCCAGCGTCCAGCGCTACAACTGCCTGAAAAAAGGGTTCCGTAGTCCTAGATCAAGCAGCGTCAGGGCAATATGAACATCTTAGCCTTTCCTCGCCCAGCCTCTTATTATAGGATGATGCCACGGACGGCAAAAGCTCCCATGAACTTGTTGCTACACTTCGATGGGCTCTGCCTGAGAACGTCCCCGTGATCTTCACGAGGCACACCGACTCAACTCATCTTGACTCAATAGACTTATGACTTATGCCTTACCCACTGCAAGAAAGAGTCTGGCTTCCGGCATTCGAACCTGAGACCGCCAAGGCAAGGCTTAGAGCTTTGGACGAATCAGACGACCCCTCTTCTTTGCGATGCCCCTCGCTTTCACTTGCAAGCTGTACTTGTGCTTGGCTGATGTCTCCAACTCTTCTGGCGTCAACCTTGGATCTGGCATCTCAGCTTGCGGCTTCTCCCTCGCAAACTGGGCCTTTGCACGAAGCATCGGTGTCAGGGATGTCTGGGATGACGCGTGTCCGACTTCATATCTCGGCGCCTACGTTGAAGAAAGTCGCATGGTGCCTAGCGAATCTCTATGTTTCTCCAGCTGTGAGGGAGGCTCTTTTTTTAACATGCCAGTTTGTCAAGCGCTGGCCGCAGCCACCGGCTGACATCTAACGAATCTAACTGTCGAGGCGACGTGCCCTTGGGGCAGGTCCCGGCGACCACGTGGCCCTTCATGTCCTAGACTCCTCCACGCTGCGATCCCAACGAGATTCAGAACTTCAGATGACGAGTCGATGCGCTTCGGCTCCGTTCTGCACCGAGGCCTGCGATTTTGAAGCTTGGGCCGACAGGTATCCCTCTCCCTCTTGTTACCGCTCCCCCCACCTTACCCAAAACCACCGCTGGAGAAACCACCGGCTGGTAAGTCGGGGAATCGGTCCATCATCTCCGTGTTGAAGACGGGCCTCGGCTCTCAGTCTCCACCGGGAAGGCATCGCATCGCAATTCTGAAAACCGCCTGTGCCATCCGGGTGTGGGGCATGATCGGATTGTCGTCCAGCTCCGTTCGGCATAACCTCGGCGCGCGCTGTGGACTCCGTTACTTCAGCTGAACTCCTGGCGATGGAATTTCCCGACTAAACCCAGCCAGAGATCTTAATGCCCACTCCTGAATCTTGCAGGTTTATGAGCCCCGAACCCCAGAACCCTCTAAATCCGGACATTGACCCTCGGCAACCCGTCGCAACCAGCGCAAATAACGGCATCGCAGAATCGAGCGATTAACCAGCTACTCCTGTGACAGAGCGCAACAGTACGAATTCGTCGGTTGACCTGATGAGCTCATGAAGAACGTCTTGTTCGTTCAAGGACATTCCAACGCTTGGACACTTATTCAGCACAGCCATTGCAAGCTAAGCACCAGCCTTCCCATCCAAGCACTCCGAAAGAAGCCCTGGTTTGGATGGCCAACTCTCTGATGCGCCAAGAAGCTTCAAAACACGGACGAGCGCCGTCCGAACGTCATCAGGGCCATCCACACTGGGCGAAGGGTGCATGTCGGTGGCTTTGTTGCACGGCGCGGGCAGAGGGTGTGTGAGTTCTGTATTTCTATGCAAACGATGAAGTTGACATAGACGACTTGCTAGAGGGTTTCTTCATTAATTAATCCAGCTCTTCTGCCTTTTGCCTTCAGCCAGAAACGTCGAAGCGCCACTTGCGAACTCGAATCACTGAAGCCGTGCAGCATCAACTTCCCCTTCTGCTGGAGATAAGTCATCTCCGCTGGCCGGAGAAGCCTTGGCTCTGCCGGATGCGTCTGCCAACATCCTGCGTGTATACGTTCTCGTCTTACAATCATCACCACCATCACCATCAGCAGCAGCAGTCCCACCCTAGAATGTCCTCCCTGATCTTGCACAGTCCGTTGCTGCCAAGCCACTGCTTGGAGTTCATGCCCCAGTACCAGTCCTTCGTAAGGAGGTGCAGACAGAGCTGCCTACAATGTGAAGCTCCTAAGAAATCCTCGCAGCCCTCAGGCAAAATCCCCCGGAAGCCCGACCAGCAAACCGGATGTGTTCTGCGGCGTTGTGCAGTATGCCCTTCGAGGGGTCCGGGAACTTGTTGGCAAACTGCCGCGCCGCAGGAGCCCGCCAAAGCGCCTTGCATCAAGATGCTGGACTTCCAGAAAGAACGAACTGCTGGGCACGTGCATTTCGCGTAGGGTTTACAACAGCGCTGGAACAGTATCTGGAGTCTAGATCCGAGACAGACAGTTTACATGTCACGATCCAGCATGACAAGCTGCAACAGCTACATCCTGGAAACCTACAGAATCAGAGGAGGATTCAACTCAGAAACTTCTGAAGTTCCTGCCTGGTCTTCCGTGACGGAGATCCATTGGCCTGCGATTCCTGCCGCAGCCGTCTTGGAAGCGTTCCATTAGACAAGGTCGGGGCTGCAACAACAATTAGAACAGGGTCTTGGGGTATATTTTTCTATGGTTGTCATATGGGCGAAACAGGCAGAAGCACTTGCCAGGCAAGGGGCGTTTCCGCAGATCGAACTCCCCCTCTCCGTGGAGCGCCTCAGCTGAGAAGCTCCGCCCTCGAGAATGCGGCAAACATCTCAACTTTAGCCTCAAAGTGCTTGCGAAGTCCCTTGATTCTTCAACACAGGGTCCAAGGTCTCATCTACCCTTCGGGTCCCGCATTCCTTGCCGGTATCAACATGTCCTTTGGTTTTGATGGGCACGGGCTGCCCGGGACAGTCGGAGTTCGCGGACTTGGCAAGGGGTTTTGTAGCAATGCAAGTTGGGATGCTTCCATCTCGTCCTCAAGCTGCTCGTCGAACTTGGCAACGAATTCCTTCACTGAGAGCCTGGACACCATGTCGCTTAAACATGCAGCTGTTCATGGCGAGCATTTGACTTCAACGGGATGTGCTGTTCCTCCGTCGATGCAAACTGACCCGATCCTGGGAAGCCCCCCTCACGCAAACACATCAACCACCGCTTTTGGGCTTGGGTGCGTGTCCAGACTCAACAACTTGGAGTCCACATGCCGCTCAGGCACGAACAGCGCAGGATGTTCGGGTACGGCACGTGAGTTTTGAAGATTCCTCGCAAGACTTCTCACTGATGAGTCGGGGTGGGGAGGCGTACAGCCACTATCCGCCTGTGGCTGCGCAAGTGTTCCACGACCAAGCAGCCAAGATTTCACTGCAGAAGTATCAGAAATATTGGCGGGCCTGACTCGTCCTCGGACTCGCGGTAGTACTTCTCGCCTACGGGGCAGTCTGCGTGTGCCCGTGCACGATTCGTTGATTAACGAGAAAGCTCGTGACACTGATGATGGGTGACGGGTCAAGAACCATGAACTTAGCGGACAATATCTGAGAACTTCTGAAGTTGAAGAACCGGACAATGAGTGTACAACATCCTACTGGCCGCATCCCTAATGCGCCACGAGCTCCAGATGGCCTGGCTTTTTTGGCAGCAGCTCCATGACGTCCTCGCCAGCACAGGGCACTACAGGAAATAGCTGAACAAGCAACCACAGCCTTCTTTGCTGCCGAAGGCTTGCTTGAACAACTCTTACTGTAAGCCCCCAGTCCGGACCCAGCTGCCAATGCGTCATCCTGGCAACACTGTGTGACTGTGCCATGAAACGCTTCATCGTGATGGCCGACTTGGCTGGACGAGTCCGTCGTGAACTGTAAGCAACCGTCGTTCTGGCTGGACTCTAGGACTCTAGGTTGTCCGGGCAGGTTGCGAGGCATAATGGGGGCATGTAAACAAGTATACTTCATCACCGCATGCTCTGCATGTGAAGATTGCGGCACCATGCCATTCCATGTTTTCCGCGCTGGAGGTCATCAACCGCTGCGCGGACAAAACGGCTTCAAGCGCCTAGATATGCGTTGCGATACGGCTTGGCCGTAATAAGTCGCCGCAATGCATTAGGAAGCACCGGTTCACACAGCACTGAATGGGAGTTTCCGAGAATTAGGGTACCCTATTTTGGGGTCCTTATAACAAGGATCCTACTATTTAGGGTACTATATTAGGGTCCCCTATGTTCTGAAACCCCCGAATCCCAAAGCCAAAAGTTCAAGGCCAGAGCCGGGGTCGAGAGGAGAAGGGGACCCGAAGCACGCGGAAGGAACCTGGTGGACTCCAGGTCGCCCTGGTCAAGGCGGCAGGAGCCCATACGAATCCACCTCAGCGCCAGTGCTAGCTCGAGTCCGGCCAGGAACTCTTCTCGATTTTTTTCAGTTCAAAACAGTATCTGATCTTCTGACATTCAAAGCTACGTGCAACGAAGCATGGGAGCCCCTTGCCCGGCTGTCTGTGCCACGGTGCTCCGATCGCTCCTGCGACTGTTCGTCCTGCCGGGGTGATATGATCTTGTCATGCTCTTGCCATGCGTGTCCTTCATTCCTCCATTTAAGGGAGCCCAAGAAACCCTATGTAGGGGCGGCAGTCATCGAAACAAGCCCTGTGTCCTGGACCCAGGCTGCCTCCACTAGCCGGTCTACGCCATCGTCATCCTGCAATGGACTGAGCAGATGGCTGCTGAATCAGTGCCTGAATTCTTCAAATCCCAAGCACAGTTCAAGGCCGCCAGGCCCTGGTTGCAGGGCTTGTTGAAGTTTTGTCGAGTAAGGCGATTAAAGCTAGGGGCCTCAGACCACGAGCCCCGCCCTCGAGACGTAAGCTTCCGGATTTTACATCTTCGGTGCCTTTGCAAACTTGAAGTTGATGCGCCCCACCGCTTTCGACGGCCGTCCCTCCACGACGCGTACCTGCCATTCGAATAGAACAGAGGCCAGTGGCTCAGCTCTGGTCGACATGATCTACACTCTTTGCACATTTGCCCAGCCAATCAACTTGGTATTCACGAACCCGAAGGCCGAAAGCTCCTGGCCTTGAAGGCTGAATTCTTCGACAGCTCTCCTCGCTTAATCCTCGCTTTGTCTTCCTTCCGCAGGTCAGAGGCTGACGCGCTCCGAGTCCACGCTATGTGCGGCAGCATATGCTGCTTGTGAGCTTTTACAGTAAGTGGTACTTATCAGTTGAGAGACTACAGAGAGAGGTGTTCCGAAGATCATATCGTGGCGAAATGCAGCTCCCAAAGGTCCGGATCTTTGACGACCATGGAGGCTTTGTCAGAGTATGGCAGCCGAAGGCCGTTTCTGGCGTTGATGGTGGTGCTGTCGAAAACCAACCTCGCAGGCAACGCTGTGCGGTCTGGACCAACAAATCTGCACAACAAATCTGCACCCCTCATGTTGAATTCCTGACGTATTCGAACCCTGAAGCTGCGCTCAGTGGTGGCCAAAGCATGCCAAGGCCTCATTCAGCCGAGGGTCTCCCACTCATTGCTGGGATCCATCTCCATCAGTTTCTGCTGCATCTTGTGGATGTCAGAACCTGCGTATGCGATAGCCACCAGCAGGCAGTCAAAATCTTTGGGCCCGGCTGCG